AGTCTACCTACTTGAATATGCTACTCATCCTATGCTTTCAAAAATAGGCATCATTATTAAAAAAAGGAAACAGCATGGACCTTATCTTATTAAAAGTTAATTTTCCTGCATAACATTCGTAATTGCCTAGTGCTTTAAAGGGGCAAAAAGCCATATTATTCATCAGAGAAGGAAGATAGATAGATAGATAGATAGATAGATAGATAGATAGATAGATAGATAGATAGATAGATGATAGATGATGACCAAGGTTGGTTTTTCTCCAATGTAGCCTAGACTGAACTCATTGAAAATCATCCAATATGAGATCTATTATTTCCACTATTTCCACTCAGTCTTGGTCCATAACTAAGTCACCCAAGACCTCATGAGGTTCCAATGCCACCCAGTCTAGTCAGGGGTATTTGACATTTTAGGGTTTATCATAACTATATCAACTCATTTTGTGAGAGAAACATCCTTTCAGATTCTTATATTTAGTTCCGTGGGTCTCAGTCTTGGCTGCACATCATAATTACTCAAAAAGCTTTATAAATCCTGATGCTCAGGCTTTTTCCCAGAGCAATTACATCAGAATCATCAAGCATGGTACCCAACTATTTGTAATGTTTAAAGCTCCCCAGATGATTGCAACGTGCAGTGAAATTTGAAACTGCTGATCTGTAGATAATATTTTTGATCATCCTGTATTCTTTCTAGTACATAATTACGCCGTCCAATACCCAAGATGCCTCCTGGGAGCTATGGAGGACAACGATGACTGTCCCACATTTTTGATGAAGCACACAACTTCACTTGGGGCCGTGCTCTGTAAAATCTCCCCCTTTTCATTGAACTTCATGTTCTTTTTTTTTTGTATAGAGACAAAGACACAAAGCCTATGGGGCACTGAGTCAGAAGAGCTGTCAAAGAAAGAAGATATGGAACCCAGTGTTAGTGACACCCAAGGCTGTGATGCCCAGTGTGCCAGGGATAGTTAAGGGGTGGTCCCTGGGCCAGCAGCAGCAGCACGTTGGAACTTAAATGCACATTCTAAGCTCAAGTAAGTGATTCAGAGACACAGGAGCTATGGAGAAACGTCAGGCTTCATGATTCTCCACCACTGCCTTGTCTCTAGATAAGCTGTCCAATGTTGGAAACTTAGCTCAATGCGCAACAAGAGAAGCAGCAACCTACAGGTGATACAAGGAATACGCTGGATGAGGGGAGGCGAAATCTGCTGTCACCCTTCTTCCCTTTCCCCCCTTTCCTATCTGTATTAACGACGTATTGAAGATCAGAAGGAATCTGTCAATGGGCAACTCTGGTGAGCTTTATTTGCATGAGTGTCTAGAAAGTTGGGTTGCTCATGATTCTTTTAATCACAATACAAAGAGTTTGACATAGCTTCTTTAAGAATGAGTATATCAGCTGTTTCCATGGAAATAGTACTTTGCTTTCCAGTGTTCTAAAAAATTGGCCTTCACAACCAAGAGCAGTTGGTTTGATGGAAGACATCTTAGTAAAACATGAATGTGGATGACCCGCTTTGGTGTGCCACTGCTGTGTTTTAGGGCACATTTGTTAGTGCTGCATGTCTGACTAGGGTAACTTAAAAATCAAAGGGCCATTCTAATTTGGCATTTATTAGCAATTTTTGTGCAAGTTAAATTCTTTGTTTTTAAGAAGTATGTAAAATGTGCTTTAGATGCATTCAGGTCTGATGGAAATTTATCTCAGGGAGTGTTATTGGATGGGGGAGAAAAATAGAATTGGGAGAGAGAATAGAAATATATAGAAAGAAGAAGACTGGGATATATCTGAAAGTACCAGAGACAAGCCTTATTTGCAATAACTAGTATATGTCTGAGTCAACCAGAAAAGGTCAGATAAGTTGATGTTAGGGGAGTGAACCCCAAGATAAGTATTCAAATGTTTTTTTTTTCCTTTCATGCAATGGTTTCTAACATATTTACAAGATGATTTCTATGTTGCTTTGTATGTCCCTCCCCCAGGATATAACCCCTGCTTTCACTGTATTTGATGTTGGTATAATTTGTGGAAGGGAAGGGAAAAAACAGATAGTTTAACGAGGGATACGGGTGGACCCTTCGCAACGATGGGATGTACAAGTCATTATGTCAAAAAACGAACTTTACAACTTTGGTGGAGGGGGGAGGTTTGGGTGGGGGAGAGGGGAAGTATGGGAAGGGATGGGAAGGGGAAACAAAGAGGAGGCAACAATGCTTGATAAGAAATGTACTCGTTATCTTGCCCATGTAATTGTAACTCCTCTGTACTGTATTCTCACAATAAAAAATAAAAAAATAAATAGCAAAAAAAGAATTAAATGAAAGAAAGAGATAAGGAGAGTTAAGAAATACAGATAGGGTCAAAGAAGAAAAGGTACAAAAAAGAAGAGGAGAGAATGTATGGACAAGGGAAAATAAAATCAAACAATGAATGCAGACTTTGGAGCCTGGTAATGTATTGTGAAGTATCACTCGAATAAGACATGCTACAGAGATGCTACCTCCAAAGGTTAATGATGGCAGTAATCATGATTCCAATTTATAACCAACAGGATGAAGTACAGCAAGATCTCAGACAGAGAGACCCACAGTGACAGCAGAGGAATAATAACATAACCCCAGGGAGGAACACAGGGATGTTGGAGGTTAAAGTGTAAGAAAGACAAACAACCCTGCTTATGACGTGATGACTGAACTGAAAAGAAGCAGTTAGATGAGCCTCAAATTTTGATGTGAATACATGCAAATGGTTATTCTGTGACTGGGCCTCTCCTACCATCTACTTTAGCTAATGTTGGTCTCTTTTTATTTATTTTCTCTTCCCATCATTGCTGCTAAATATTGTCCTTCTGCCAGTGGTCAGTGTACCTATTCCTTTCTGAGGTCGGTAAGCTACAATGGAAGAGACAATACTCAATCTCCAAACAAGTTATCAAAGCCTTTTCCTCTTTATGTATTGCTCTGGTTAGGATATGAGGCAGCCTTCCCCCCAAGACTCCTGTGTTGAAGGCCTGGGTTCCAGCAAATGACACTAATGAGATATGGTTGGATTGTAAGAGTGATCACTTCATCAATGGGCAATCCATTGATAAGCTCATGTCTAATGGACTATTAGAGGGTCGGGCTGGGATGGAGGAAGTATGTGACTAGCATTATGCCTTGAAAGACAGCATCCTTTCCCTGGCCTCTCTGTGTCCAGTATTGTATAAGGTGAAAATCTTTGCTCAACCATAGTCCTCTGCTGTGATGTGCTGCTTCATTCAAAGCCCAGAAGCAATAGTGCCATGTTCTGAAACCTCAAAAACTGGGAAACCAAAAAAATCTTTTCTCCTTTAAGCTGCTCTTCCCAGGTATTTTTCCCAGTGGTAGAGAAAGCTAACTAATACATGCAAATGTTATAGATCAATATATCAATTTATATAATATATAATCATCTTGGTCAGTCCGTATCAAGATTCTTTTATTCCTTGATGGAACTGGGGTTTGAATTTAGGGGCTTGCATTTCTTAGGTAGTTGTTCTACCACTTGAACCATGCCAGGTTTCTTCAAGATTCCTTTTAAGGAGTTCCAGTGCTCAAGTATGTGATGAGCTACCATGTCCACTATAATTTACCCTGTCCTAGTGAGCCAACACAGAGCCTGAGCATCTGCATTAGCCTGAAGTTGGAGAATGATATGAGGAAGCTATTTTACATAACATGGGAAAAAGTTTAAAAGATCCAGAGCAGCAAGAAGCTGAAGACAAGACACAGGATGAAGACAGATGACATACAGTTAGGGATATAATATAAGACTGTGTATAATGTGAACCATGAAGGCCTAGAAAATATTCTGACAAAACAGGTGGTATGGCAAGTTCTCCAGATAAACCTTTGTTATAGAGATCAAAGATGATTCAAAGCTTCCATCAGGTATGGAAGGCTAGACAAAGGCAGCAGTTGAGAGGCAGATTTGCAGAAGGTTTTGGACACAATGCATTTTGGTATGACATGGCATTTGGGGTGAGTTTTGGGAAGGGTCAAAGCAATGCAATTTGGATTTCCAGAATCATCTGTCAATACCAATTTTGTTTACATGCACACACATATACACACACTATACATAAGCATGTATATGGTTCCTATGCAATTTGACACAAAAATATTTGAAATTGTTTTGATTTTTTGAAACAGAGTCTTTCAATATTCCTGCCTCTCCTTCCCAAGTTCAGGGATGACAAGGGATAAGCTACCATGCCTGGCAACATTTAATACCTTTAAGTATAGGTTATCCTCAGATAGATTCATAATAAGAATTCATAGTAGGCTTTTCATAGTAAGATTTCAGATCATAAGCTCTTTGATCTGTATCTTCTCCAGTGTTTGAAAACTGTATCTAGCTGTATATAAAGCATATAACTGTTATTCAGAAAACATGTGTGGCTGATACATTGTTGAGACCCCTTCCTTGACTCCCATTCCCTTGTATGCACAGGCTCTCAATTCTCTTGAACACCATCCATCCAGGAAAGAGGCCACGTGCATACTGAGACAATGAGAACCAGACTCTGTGACTGTCTACCAATCTCTGTGATTCCCACCTTTGGCAGCGTGGTTCTCTACTAACAATAAAGATTATAACAAAATGTATCCACTGCTAGAAATGGAGTTGCTCGATGAAGCACCAACTGATAGTTGAGAAATGAAGAGATATTTGAAATGATGTCATTACAGCTGAGGAAGACAATACTGTTAACTAAACTTAAACCAAGTCAACCTTTCTTTGTAAGCACCCATCTTGGTGCCATGGCAGCTTCACTGGACTAGTATCTCACATCTAAGCGAATCGAACTCTCTGTGGAAAATGACTTTTCACCTCAGGAAGGATCCGTGAACAATGCATGAAGGGTAAAGCTCTTGCGAGATAATGTGCTTCCCCTCCATGCCCGTCATTTCTCCATGCTCCTCTGAGAACAGGGTGAAAGGGAGATCAACATAGAGAATGCTCACGTTCTTAAATCCTCTGTAAAGAATCTGCAGCTCCTTCTTGGTGAATTTGCTCTGGGCTTCCAGCAGCTCCAGGGCCTCAGGCCGATGCCTGACTGTGGCCATCTCCAGTTCATCTTCCACACTATCTGTGGAGGGAAACCAGAAAGACCCTTTAGGCCGGCTGATGCTAACCAGCTCTCATAATAAGCAATCCAAGAAAATGAGACAAAATGGTTGCTTGTTAGATATCTGAAATTCATGCCTAGAGGAAGGGTCCTATACTACCAATAATCACCTTTTCACTCCTCAGCGTTCATAGTATTAGGCTGAGACACCTCTCTATGAATGATTATGTTTTTGCACATTTTGGTTATCATATACAACTGAAGTTTTAATATTCACATTCATTTACAGTTATATTTTAACAGTTTGCAAAGTAAAATAAACCCAGCAATCCAATCTGAAATTTGCACACCAACACCAAGATCAAGTTATCTAATTGGAATTGTTTTTAAACAGTCAGCATCTTCATCTTTTTTTTTTTTAATTGTGCAACTATGAGAATCCTATCTGCTCTTTCCCGTGGGGCTTTGAACAACCTGTTCAGATCAGGGGTTGACCAGGGTGAAGTGGGCAGCTTTCCCATCACTCTTCCAGCAGTTCAGGTTTGTAGATGTACCCTATTGGCACTGGGGTCAATTGTGTAGCCCATAGAGTTTGTAATTATAGACAAGAATATCACTCTGAAGTATACCCATACTCTACAATTTCTCAGATTCTGTGCAAAAAGACTTCTGTGCTAACCTGTTGGAGAACTTCTGTAAACTTTCACGTAATTTGGGGATGAAATATTGGGATATATTGTTTTTGAGAAGATGTGTCACAAATGATTTGGTTAAACTTTGCTATTCCCAATTAGCCACCAAATTATTTGTCCACACAATCTTTTTGACCCCCAAGCCACATTGATATTATCTTTACAGTTGCCTTACAGCCTGATAAATGTAAGGATCTAGATGTGGTGTCTCAATCACAGCACCCTTCCGTACATCTTTGGGTGAAATAGATTCCTAAATAAATACTCCCTATTGTAATGCAGTCCCTACTTCATAGAAAGAATTCAGGTTCCATATGGACCTATGGCATTTCCCCATTAAATTCCTTCACCTTGACCACAAATGCCAGACTCAGAGCAGTGAGGCTAAGGAGAAGAGTCACCTCTCAGCTCCTCTATCCCAGGACCTGCAATCCAATTCTGTGTCAATGGGTCAGTGAGAAATGCAGTCATTTCTCTGACCATTGTACCATTTTTGACACCCAAAATGCTGCATTTTGCTGATATGTGTATGCACTTACTCTCTACCTCATTAAGGCCATCAAGGGGTCAAACTTCTCCCTAAACAGGAAGTAGAATTCTAGTCAAAGCAACTCTAACCAAGGCATATCCAACCCTCTAAACTCAAGGACATTACAGAAGACCAACAACGATGAAACAAACACATGGAATGGTTGTATATGTCCAACCATTAACAGAAGTCAAGAGCAAATATGTAGTCATTACTTTTCATACTCTAATAGTTTATTTGGAAACAGTGACCTAGAAAAGCTTCAGAATACAAATTGATGGCTAAAAATACAAGAAAATATTATAAAAGAGAGGGAAGCCATTAATACATTTAGAATTGGTAAGGGTAAAGCTGATGAGAATATGAGTAGGATGTTTACCTCAAGTGGTAGAAAGAGCTCAAAGTTCCTCAGAAAAGACACTGGAACATTAACATTGGTTTCAGGCTGTGCATTATAGGAAAATATCAAATAAGCAGAAATAGGACTATGTCAATTTTCTCTTTCATTCATTTGAACAAATAGAACTATTGTACTCAATGACCTTGAAGGAAAGTGTTACTATGATTGCCGTTGAGCCAATGACTTGACCTGAGGTGTATTATTGTACTTTTCCTGATAGAACAAAAGTGGCATACAGTAGACCTGATCAACATAGGTAATAACAAATAGAAAGCTTCTACTTGATACCCTGTAGTTACAAATTATTTGGTGAATAAAAGAATGAATGTATAAAAGAATAAAGAAATGATATTGTTGTTCAAGTTTTCACTCCTCTAGAGTCTCTCAAACCTCTATTTCTTTGAGACATATTTTTTAACTTAGGCTTGTGAGCTGATAGTGGGCCTTAAATGTCTTCAGTTAGAATCGCTGGTCTCTGTTCATTTCTCCTGGAAGCAGAGTATAAGCAAAAGGAGAGGAGATTTTAATCAGATTTTCTTGCAGCCTTTCAATCACAGCATGACCCTGTCTAGACCTCCTGACTCCTCCACTAGTGAGAAACAAAACAGCACATTAACCTCTCAGCCTCTCCACCCTGCTGTCTGAGTCACACTACTAACTGTTTCTTCTTGAATTGTCACAGACTTGTAGATTCTACACCTAGAGAAAAAGCCCAAGGCTAGAGGGTCAGTATAACTGAATTAAGTGTGTGTTTGTGTGTGTGTGTGTGTGTGTGTGTGTGTGTGTGTGTGTGTGATTGGATGATGATCACATGAAATATTCAAAAGGAGCCACACTCCAAGAGTCTGCCTTTGGGCTCTCATGTTTTCCTGGCTGACTGCTACCTTTCTTCTTAATGACTTTTACCTGCCAAAGGGCTGTTCCTATTTTTAGGAGGCTGACAGGCTCTAAAAACATACCTGAAATCATTATCAAATGCCAGGAGATGAGAAGCTGCAAAAGCAACACCACAGGATGTAATCAGCTCTGGTTCCTGGAGGAGAATTCTGTGGGAAGTGCAGCCTGACTCTACACAAGACCCAGAGTCACCTTGTGCCTCAGCCACCATCAAGAGCACATAATTGTGAGCACTTCTGCATGGAGCCTCACCTGTATTGAGTCCTTCCTAGGCCAGGATGCAGATGAGGCACCTGTTGAACTTTGTCTTCACAATAACCTCCACAATGAGTGAGTGTGTGTGTGTGTGTGTGTGTGTGTGTGTGTGTGTAGATTGTTAATAAAAACACTACCTTGCAGGGAATTTTGCTCTCCACCTAGGAGAGTATTATTTTAATACTAATAAATTCTGTGAGATACTTTGTTTCTCTTATTTTTTACAAGGAATAAATAGAGTAGGTTAAATAAGCTAAGCAAGGTGAGGTCTGAGCTGGAACTTGACCTCTGGCTTTGTGACACTAATGATCATTGGTTTCAGGAATATGTAACTTAAATTATACAACATTTGTACATGTGCATACATATACATATATGATGGGTATATGTATATATGAGTATCTGTCCATTCACATTCTCGTAAATAACACACACATATGGTATTAGGTTTGAATTCAAGACCTCTTACACTTTCTAGGACAGTGCACTCCATACCACAGCTCCTTTTGCTTTTTTTATTTTTTGGATAGGGTCTCCTGCTTTTTCCGGAAGGCTGGCTTAGGACTTTGCTCCTCCTATCTATAACTGCCTTCCATGTATCTGGGAACACACAAGTATACGACAAAGCCCAGATTATTAACTGAAATCAGGTCAAGTTAACTTTTGGCCCAGGTTGGCCTCAAACTCTGATCATTCTAATTTTAGCCTCTTGAGGAACTGGGATTCCAGGAGTAATACACTCTTTTAAGAAATGAGAGTTGTTATATGTTTAGATTCAAAATCCTAGGGGATAAATGGCCACTTAACTTCCAGTTCCTCCATTTCTCTCTGTCAAGTAACCTCAAGGTGCATCAAAGGCATGATCAGCTCAATAGATAACTTCACAGCCAAAGAATATAAGTATTTGCAGGGCAGATTGAATCTCACAGCTCGCAATGTCACAGAGGGCTTTTATATTTCCACATTATATCAGGAGAACTATAGATCTAGGGTGGCTGAGTAGTTTATCTGGTACAAAAGCTGAAAGCAGGAGATCTCTGGCCTCCTGAAGGCCTGCAGGCTTTGCCAGAGCATGGTGTGAATTCAATGCTAAATTTGCATTCCAAGACAAGGCAAATACAAATAGCATTTTAATTCATGTGGCTTCTAATAGATTGGATTTTAATCAGACAATGAATTACCAAACCCAGATATCCTTGAACTTCTTAGTAGTCTCTTCTTGTTCTTTGTTCTTCAAATTTAAGTCTCTCAGAGCTCAGGTTGTCCTATGTCTGAGTCAACAGCCCCCTTAGGTCATGACACAATTGGGCTAGAAATTGGAATTCAAATCTCCAGGGAACCACAGAATGAGACTTTTTAAAAATAGCCATTATTCTCCTCTTTCTCACAACTCCCCTTAAAATACAGTAAAAACTTATTGCAGCCTAACTCATAATTATGCAAATTTGACTCTATCTAAGGTCAAACCATACTCCTCCAGATATAACTACAGAATATTTTGCTTTATAATACTAAGTGTGGGTACTGACTTCTAAATCCATGAATGTGTAAGCAGGAATTGAAATTCAGAATACCAAACAACTTTATAGAGGAAGTCAGTTTAGAACGCAAACCAGCCATACAGAGTAAATCCCTTTCTGGGATGCTATAGCCTTCTGTCTGGCAACCTGGCCCAGAAGCATCTAATTAGACATACTAATGGTACTCAATCAAAAGTTGTCAAATAAATTAGTCACTATTTGGAGCATTCCAAGGACAGCATATATATGCACAGGATTTCTGATTTCTAACTAAAACATGACTGTTCTTTAAAAATGTGTTTATTCTTCATTATGAAACAACATCAACAACAAAAATCAAGCTGGGCACAAGCTGGGCTCAGGCTTGTGATCCTAGCTACTCAGGAGGCTGAGATCTGAGGATTGTAGTTCAAAGCCAGCCCAGGCAGAAAAGTGCATGAGACTCTTATCTGCAATTAGCCACCAGAAAACTGGAAATGGCATTGTGGCTCAAAGTGGTAGAGCACTAGCTTTCAGCCAAAGAGCTCAAGGGCAGAGCCCAGACCCTGAGTTCAAACCCATGACCAATTAAAAACAAACATAAATACTATAACTTTAACCCTTTATCTGAGCTGAAGTTGATTTGGTTTTCCAAGGCCTCAGCCTCCATGGCTAGTGTTGCTTGATCTCATTTATAGTAATAACCCTCTGAGTGTTTGCTCCTCATGGTTACCTCTGATTGAATCAGC